TACCATCTGAGGCCGTGCAGTGCAACAGAAAAAACAATGACTTTGGAATCAGAGGGCCTGAGTTCAAATCCCACTTTTGGTGCTTTCTACCTGTGACTCAGGGCCAGTCACTGAACCTCCATAGGCCTCAGTTTTCTCACCTGTAAAATGTAGGAATAGGGCTTTAAGGTCCCTTCTACCTCTAAGTCTAGGATCCCATGTTTGTTCATCTACCCAATGTTCGGCCTTGCCAAGACCTGAAACTTTTTCTGGACAAAAACAAGAGAAAAAGAAAGCAAGTTCTCTCACTGGGTCTGATTTACATGTGTAATTTTTATGTTCTCATTCATTTCAGCCTAGAGAATCATTTTATTGTTTTTGAAGTGACAGAAAGAGTAGAGAACTCCAAATTTCAGAGACATTGGAAGTGTGTATACTGGAATTGGGAAGAGAAACTTGAAGATAAGATTATATCTGGAAATTAAAGCAACAAGTTAGTAAAATTGTTGGCTTCAAATTCCCCAAGAACAGAAGGTCATAGGAAAAACCCGCTAACTAAATTTCACAAATCACTGATGTATATGAACAGAGTCAAAAGCTCATGTTCATTTCACAGGACTGATGGTGAGTCCTTAGATCATACAGTCGTTTTTTTGAAGGTACAAACTTACACAGCTAATACGCAACTAGTTGCAAAGTTAACTGATAGGCAACTAGTCTTTTGGAAAAGGTGCCTTAACAGCCTTGTCTTTTCCCTCTCCTGCTTGCTAAGAAGTTGCCCAGAATTTTCTGAAAGTCCTGAGATCCCCCTGAAGCAAAAGAATACTGATCAGAGACATTACAGGCAGCATGGTGTCTGATTATAAAGTTTTCCAGAAGTCCTAAGGTCCCCCAGAGACAGTAGAAGCAGCTTGAAAATAGGGTCCAGGACTCTTGGGTTCTAGGCATAATTCTGCAACTAATTAGCTGTGTGCTCTAGAGCAAATCACTTCACTCTGGCCTCAGGATCTCCATAGGTAAAAGGAAAAGGTTGGATGAAATTACTTTTAAGGTTTTCCCAGATCATTGTATGACTGAAGGGTAAAGGTAGTAGCAGTCCTACTTTGTAGCCAGATTGCACACTCTCCAAACAGAAACCCAGTAATACTAATAATACAAACAATGGTTGTTTACAATTAACTTAGCACTTTTTTTTACTCTGGAAGTTCATAACATCTGCCTCTATTACAATTATGCTGTGCATTAAAATGATGGCTTATTTCAGAACTCTGATAGATTTTTTTCTTCTACAAACTTTTTTATGAATGACCATTGATGAAAAGTTAGCACTTTCCTTTCTTACTAGGGACAATTTTCAATAGCATAAAGACAATTATATCAACTGAAATAATCAGTGGTACTGGTCCTGGTGTCTAAATGCATCTAAGACTGAGCAAATTCAGAAGTTCACATGGTATTAGCCACAAAATTGGGTCCAAGTTGATGATTAAATGAATTATTATCATTTAAAGCAATGAGTTTTAAAATAATTGACCTCAATCCCCTAGTAAAATGTATTGAACTGGTGACTATATTTCAACTGATGTTACAAGCTTCAAGAGATTATCCAGGATGCCAAAAACATTTGAAACAATATGATACAAAGATTGATTGTTGCAAGTGGAGATTTTTCGTTTAGGTATGAAAATATTTGGAGAAGGGAGGCCATTATAGTAGCCTTCAATGACCACCTTGTTGAAACGAAATTAGACTTATATTGTGTGGCTTCAAAGTACGCAAGATTTCCAATTGATTAGAACTGTCTGCAAATGAAATGGGCTGTCTCTGAGGGAGTGTACTCTGTATCACTGAAAGTGTTGAAATAGAGATTGGATACTTATTTACTATGCTGTAGAGGGTATTCATGTATCAGAAAAAGGTTGGACTATATAACCTTTGGGATCCCTTCCAGCTCTGAGACTGTATGCTTTCACAACAGTTCTGTGAGGAAGGTAGTGACAATATCAGCCTATTTTCATAGCTAAGGAAACTGAGTTACATAGAGATTAACTGACTTTCCTAAGATCACAAAATTCATAGGGGACTGAGTCAAAGCTAGGTGTTCTAATCCCAAGTCTGGTGTTATTTCATATTTTTTTTTATATCTTGCTAGACAGAATATTTGGATAGGAACTGAGGGTATTTTTCCTTCTTCTGTAGAGATCTAACTGCAAAAAAAAATGTTCCAAAGAGAAACTGGGCTTTGTGGCCTTAGGCAAGTTACTAAATCTCTACGGGCCTCAGTTTCCTCATCTATAAAATGAGGGAATTGGGCTAGATAACTTCTAAGGTCCTTTCTAGCTCTACATCCATTATGTATGAATCTAAGAAATCCTAAGTGGCAAAATAAACCAAATTCTTGTGTTTTCAGGAAGAGGAAGAAGATTGGCCAAAGAAATATGTGTGAGACCCTTCTAAGAAGAAACCCAATCTATGTGAACCCAGAGCATTATAATTGGCCATAGGTTACATTTGAAAGAGGACGGATGTTTGATTTTGGGGGTGATCCTTAAAGAAATTTTGAAAAAGAATGATCATAAAATCATAGATTCAGAACTAAAAGGAACCTTAGAAGTCACCTATTCCAAACCCATCATTATACAGATGGAGAAAATGAAGCCCTGAGAAACTTGTTCATCATTACACAAGTGGCCATTAAAATTCAAACTCACGTCCTCTGACTCCAAATCCTTCTCTGGGTATGTATATGAAAAGTAGCTAAAGATGGTACCGCCACCAAGTTGGTACATTTCGACTAATTCAGGTAACTAGGTGGTACAGTGGATATAGATAATAAGAAAGTTAACACTTTTATAACAATTAAAGGTTCGTAAAATACTCTGACTGAATGATCATATTTGATCTTCACAACAACCATGTGAGGTGGGTAACAGATGACACAAAACTGGGAGAGATAGTTAACATACTAGAAGAGAGTCAGGATACAAAAAGATTTTTAATAGGCAAGAACATTGACAAATATAAATTTAAGAGGAAAAAAATAAAGTCTTACACTTGGGTTGAAAAAAATCAACTATGCAAATACAAGATGGGGGAGGTATGACTAGATCATTTGAAAAAGACTTAGAGATTATGATGGGTTGCGTAATCAAATCTACAGTGTGATGAGGCAATCAAGGAGGCTAAAGTGATACTAGGGGGCATCAAGAGAGGAATAATGTCCAGGACTTGGCAGGTGATAGTGCCACTGTACTCTGCCCTGATCAGAACATATTTGGAGAATGGTTCAATGGTTTAGAGTATGGTTCAATTCTGTGGGCAGCTAGGTGACACAGTGGATAGAACATTGGGCTTGGAGTTGGGAAGATCTGAATTCAAATCTGGCCTCAGGCACTAGCTGTGTGACCCTGTGCAAGTCACTTAATACTGTTTACCTCAGTTTCCTCATCTCTAAAATAAGCTGGAGATGGAAATGGCAAACCATTCCAGTATCTTTTCCAAGAAAACCCCAAATAGGATCATGAATAACTGGACACAACTCAACAACAACATTCAATTCTGTGCACTATATTTTAGAAAGATCATTGACATTTAGGAGAATGTCCAGAAGAGGGTGAAGTGCATGCCATATAAGGATCAGTAAAAAAATATTGAAGATGTTTGGCTTGGTAGGAAAAGAAGACTTAGGAGGAACATGATAGCAGTCTTCAAATATTTGAAGGTGCCCCTCATTATTTTGCTTGTCCCAGAGGGCAGAAGTGGGGCATTTGGTTAAAGACAAGCAAATTTAGGATTGGTGTAAGGAAAAACTTAAGAATTTTGGGTCTCTGAAAGTGGCATGTGTTGCATCCAGAGTTCATTCTCTCCAGAGATTTTCAAGCAAATGCTAGAACTCCAGTATTCAGGTCTGTTGTTATGGGGATCTTGTTAAGATGTAGGTTGGACTAGATGACCTGTGAGGTCTCTTCCAACTCTGAAATTCTGTGATTTTTGGAAATGCTTCTGTGATCACACAATAAAACATTTGATCAGAATCACATAGCAGCAGATCTGGAACTAGAACCAAGTCCTGTAAAGTGCTTTGTTCCACTACACCAGCCTGCTGTGTTAGAAAAATGTTCAAGCATTTGTATAGCTGACTATGTTATAACTAAGATGGAATACTAGCCTGAGAAATCTTAGCGTCATGCTTTGAGTCCATGGCAATATTCTACAAGTTCTCACCTTGAGTATTAATTAAAATAAGAAGTCAACAAGTAAGAACAAAAGAAAACATAAAACACAAGGACAGCCAAAACAATCACTCTTCAAATACATCTTATCATGGGCAGTGTTTCATAGGTGACTCCAGCAGGCCTAAGGCATAAGCAGGGAACAAGGATAGTGGAAATGATAGGAGGGCAGAAGAGGAAGGGAAGCAGGTACTGACAGCAGGAGGAAAAAGATGGTGGGAAAGTGGCCAGGGGGCTCCACAGAGATTGCCTAAGGAAACCCCTCCCCCCCCACTTTTCCCAAGAATGCAGAATGGCCTTTCATGGAGAGTTACTGTGATCAATGACTGCTGGATTCCCAAACCAACTCTTCCAGCCTCAAAAATATTCTGAGAACCCCAGATGGGTGAGGACTCACCTGTTCAAGCTCTGCAGCCCTAACAGCAGGATGGGCAACCGCTCCCATTCCCAGACATGCTTTGGCAGCTCAAAGGGTTGGAGAATACGTTTTTTCCTTCTCTCTCAGCCCAACCATTCCCCAGGTAAAGAAGTCGGGGACTTTTATCAACCCATATAGAACCACCGGACTTTGGGCATACCCTATTTGCACTTCTAAAGCGTTCTATACATCGCATTGGCAAACAACAGCAGCAGCTGCCCGACAGTCTCTCTCCCTCCCCTTCCCCAGCCCATCTCCATGTTTCCCTGATGGTGGCAGCGGGCAAGACAGAGACAGACCTTGTGCTATGGCCGGGTGGGGCGTCGGAGAAGGGCGCCCCACGGGCCGCTAGCTCCCCAGGCTCACCCTACCTGTAGTAGCGATCATCTTTGTAAGGGGTGAGGTCTTCCTTCAGCTCTTGGTATGCCTCACCTAGCCTTTTGCAGAAGTGCTTGAGCTCTCTGCAGAGAGGCTTCTCAAAGGCAGGATAATCCGCGTCCATCCTCGCCCAGGTCCTTCTGGGCGCCTTCTCTTCCGCTTCGTGCTCACTGACTCTAGGTTTCACCGAGCTCTACCCTGGCAGTCGCTAACCTGGCCAGGCACAGCCAAGTCCCCCTGCTCAGTCCACGTCGAACCCGCCTGTCTCTCCTCCTCTTGCCTGTGCAGATGGTTGGGGCGCCCTCCTTCGTTCTCCTCTCTTTCCCTGCCTCTGGCCTTCCCCCTTGTTTCTCCTCTTGCCTCGGGGTTTGGAGTTCCAATGAGCAGTTAGCTTTGAAAGGGGAGGAGAAAGAGGAGGAGCAGATAATGGTGGAAGGGAAGAAGGAAGAAGAAGAGGAAGAGGAAGAGTCTGTATTCAAAAGACCATAATCCCTTTTCTCCAATTCCTGCTTCAAGGCGACAAGCGTCACCTCTTAGGATAAACCTGTAGTCCTTGTAATGGTGGGGTGGGGAATAGAAAGGCACTGATGTCCTAGCGAGGGGGCGGACTGAGAAGGGGAGAGGGGCTGCGCCAGCAGATGATGCTGTATCTGCAGAGAAGAGGAGGGGGCCTGAGGCATCAGCATCAGTCCGGCGCAAGTTCATTTTGACGTTTTCATTCTCATTAGCTCATTTACAAAATGATAATGGATGTCGATACTCCTCGAGCTGCAAGAAAGGAAGAAACTAGGGAACGAGGGGAATAGAAAGGAGGGGAGATCGGGAAAAAACTCTTTTTCCTAATGGGAGGGGTACCTAAACGAATGGCCTACAGGTTTCAGCACCATGGACGGGGCTCTGGCACCTACATTCACGGGTGTTTCCATTCCTGCTCCTCCCCAACTCACTACGATTGTTATTATTAAAATAAATGTTTATTAATATTTTTGCTTTTACATTGTCTAATTTGTCCCTGTATTCCTCCCCTTCCTTCCCAGAGAGGCATCTCATATAATAAAGATTTAAAAATATTATTGTTATTTTGAAATGAGGTATACTATTGTACTAAGGAGAATAGACAATATCCAGAAGTGAGCCACTTAACAGAAGATCCCAGGTGCTTCCTGTAAACCCAGATGTAGGGGGGAACACAGAGGAAAGAGACATAAGATGCACCATATTCCTATATTTTCCATCCTTAAACAGTTATTGTAATTATGAAAGACACAAATACATCTCTATATTGATATACTTTGTAAAGGGAAGCATGGTGTAGTGGGAAGATGGTGGATTTGGAGCCAGAGAATCTGAGTTCAAGTCTCAGATCTGCCACTTATTACTTGTGACCTTGGGTGAGTTGCTTCGTCTTTCTGGGCTTTAATTTCCTAATTTGAGAAATGACAAGGTTGGACTAGATGACCACTAAGATTTCTTTCAGTCCAAGATCCATAATTCTAAGGCATAATCAAAAGAAAAACAAACTAGGATAGTTCAAATCTATACCATTTCTGATACTACTTTTTTGTGACCTTGGGTATATGTCTTCTTTGGAAGACACCTCTTTGGATCTTAATTTCCTCCTTTAAAAACGAGGGGGGGTTAGAGTTTCAATTTTAAAAGCTATGATCCTAGAGCTTTTTAACTCTAAAATAGTTAAACATTTTAAAAAAACACCTTCAATTGTCTTCATTGGGATGCATTATTAAAAGAAGTTTTGAAACATCTCTTCTTTTTATTTCCACTTCCAGAAAAGAGTGAGTAGATAGTTGACTCAGAGCTGTTCATGGATTCCTACTTAATGGCACAGATGAAAAGATTGAGTAGGAAGTCTCAAAAAGGTTTATTACCTATATCTCTGACCCAACTTCACTCAATATCATTACTCCTTCCTACTCATGGTGGCCTTCATGTTTTATTTCCTGCTTCCTACCATGTTGGGAGTAAGTTCTTATTTATTGTAGGAGATCCTACTTTTTTTTTTTGCATTTTTACCATAATTTCTGATTTTCTCAAACTAAGAACACAGTTTTTAGACTTGAATTACTAATACAAGCATTTACATTTCAGGAGGGCTGAAAATGGAGATTAGAGTTGACATTATTCAAAAGACGATGTTAAGAGAACAGTGAGGTACTGGCTAAGAAATACAGAGGTGGATCAGTGGAATAGGTTAAATATGCAAGACACAGTAGTCAATGACTATAGTAATCTATTATTTGATAAACCCAAAGACCCCAGCTTCTGGGATAAGAACCCACTCTTTGAAAAAAACTGTTGGGAAAACTGGAAAAGAGTATGGCAGAAACTAGGCATAGACCCAAATCTCACACCATATACCAAAATAAAGTCAAAATGGGTTCAGGACTTAGATATAAAGGCTGATACCATAAGTAAACTGGGAGAACAAGGAATAGTTTACCTATCAGATCTATGGAGAACAGAAGAATTCATGATCAAACAGAGATAGGGAACATTATGAAAAGCAAAATGGATAAGTCTGATTACATTAAATTGAAAAGTTTTTGCACAAAGCCAATACAACTAAGATTAGAAGGAAGGTAGAAAATTGGGAAAGAATTTTTACAACCAGTCTCTCTGATAAAGGCCTCATTTCTAAAATATATAGAGAATTAAGACAAATTTATAAGAACACAAGCCATTCCCCAATTGACAAATGGTCAAAGGATATGAACAGACAGTTCTCAGATGAAGAAATTAAAGCCATCTATAGTCATATGAAAAAATGCTCTATATCGTTATTGATTAAAGAAATGCAAATCAAAACAACTCTGAGGTACCACATCACACCTATCAGATTGGCCAACATGACAAAACAGGAAAATGATAAATGTTGGAGAAGATGTGGGAAAATTGGAACACTAATACATTGTTGGTGGAGTTGGTGAGAGTTGTGAAGTGATCCAACCATTTTGGAGAACAATTTGGAACTATGCCCAAAGGGCTACAAAAATGTGCATACCCTTTGATCCAGCACTTCTAGGGCTATATCCCAAAGAGATCAAACAAATGGGAAAAGGACCCACATGTACAAAAATATTCATCGCAGCTCTTTTTGTGGTGGCAAAGAATTGGAAATTGAGAGGATGCCCATCAACTGGGGAATGGCTAAGCAAGTTGTGGTATATGAATGTAATGGAATACTATTGTGCTATAAGAAATGATGAACAGGCTGACTTCAGAAAAACCTGGAAAGACTTATATGGTCTGATGCTGAGTGAACTGAGCAGAACCAAGAGGACCCTTGTACACAATAATAGCCATGTTATGCAATGACTAATATTGTTAAACTGAACCCTTCTCAGCATTACAAGGATCTAAGACATCTCCAGAGGCCTCAGGATGGAAAATGCTGTCCACATCCAAAGAAAGAACTATGGAAGTTGAATCGCTATCATTTATTTTTACCTTCTGTTGAGTTTTGTTTCATCTTGCTTATGGTTCCTCCTATTGGTTTTAATTTTTACTTGCAACTTCACCAATGTGAAAATATGTTTAACGGGAATGTAAATGTAAAGCCTATATCAGATTGTGCACTGTCTTAGGGAGGGTGGGGGGGAAGAAGGGGGAGAAAAATTTTCAACTCAAAAGCATATGGAAATGATTTTTGATAAATCAAAATAAATTAATAAAATTTAAAAGAAAAGAGAGAGAGAACAGTGAGGAGAAAAGCTGAACACAAAGAGATTTATTTTCCAGACTGAGATAGGCTGTGAAGAGTGATTATATTGTTTCAGATTTTGATATAGTAAGTTCTCTGATGACATCCACTTTGTAGCCTCTCATTCAGCTACAGAAATATGCTGTAGCATATTTAAAATCTTTCTTACACCCTTTTCTGTCTACTGTAGCCTACATTCACCTCTCCCTTCTTTGCAATCCTAGTAGTGACAGCTGGGTTTGGTGGGAAAAGTACTCAAATAATAGCCAAAAGATCTGGGGTTTATACTTAATTCATCTACTACCAATTTGTGTGATTTGACCAAATTGTTTCACTTTCTCTGATCCCTGTTTCCCTTTGCATTAAGGTTTTGAACTCAATAATCTCCAAGTATCCATCTCTCAAGTTCAATGCTTCTCTTTAGAGATTGGTGTTGTTCAGTCATTTCAGTATTGACCAACTCTTGGTGACCTCATTTGGGGTTTTCTTGGCAGAGATACTAGAGTGGTTTGTCATTCCTTCTCCAGCTCATTTTACAGATGAGGAAACAAGGTTACATGACTTGTCCAGGGTGACACAGCTAGTAAGTTCTGAGGCCAGATTTGAACTCAGGTCTTCCTGATTCCAGGCCTGGTGCTGTATCCACTATGCCATCTAGCTGCCCTCTCTTTAGTGATAGTACTACACAATTAAGCCGCTGAATGTATCCTCTTTCCCCTTCAAAAAAATTTCCTAGAGAACTTTGGATACCTTTTGCAGTACTTTACATTATTCTCCTCTGTCTATATGTGTATATATGTATGTGTGTATATGTATCTGTATACACACACATATATGTGTGTATATATTTTAGGGTAGAATACTTGTGTATATGCCATGTGTATTCTATTCCCACTCACCTTACACTAGAATGTAAGCTCACTGAGGGCAAGATTTGTGTCATTTTTAAAAATCTTGTTATCTTCACCACCTTTCACATAGCGGGTGCTTCATTAATGTTTATTGAATTAAAGATGCATATTGTTTTGCATTGTTAACTAATTGCTTCTAGTGTGTCATCTTTCCAACTGGTTGATAAGCACCTTGAAAGTATAGATAGGGAATACTCTAGAAAAATATTAAGTAGAAAGTTTGTCTATGGTACACTCCTAACTTCCACTTCTTTCTGTCTATATAGTCTCACCACTACTGAACTCCACTCAGACTTGCTCTCCCCAGGCAGTGAGTGAGTGTCCCATGCTCTAAAGCTGCCTTTCTCTCTTCTTCACCCATCAGAATCCTCATTCTTTAAATATAGTTATCTCAGCTAGCTTGATAAGAACTCATATATTTCATTAATTCACATTACAATGTGAATGACTAATAGCACAATAGGCTATTTACACTTCAAAAGAGGATCCTTTTAGTCATGATGGAAAATACTATCCATATCCAGAAAAAGAACTATGGAGTCTGAGTGCAGATTGAAGCATACTATTTGCTCTCTCTCTCCTTTTTTTTTTTTTTTGGTGTTTCTTCTTTTTTGTGGTCCCTCCCATTGGTTCTAATTCTTCTTTACAACATGACTAATGTGAAAATATATTTAATATGAATGTTTATGTAGAGCCTATATCAAACTGCATGCCGTCTTGGGGTGGGGAGAGGGGAGTAAAGGAGAGAAGGTTTGGAACTCAAAATCTTATGGAAGTGAATGTTGAAAACTAAAAATAAATTTTTTTTTAAAAAAGAGGCTGCTTTTTAGCCTAAAGGAATTAATATATAAT